TTGTCTCTTTCCCAAGACATCTGGTTGGCTTATTATTTGGGAGTCTTTTGACTGATGGCAGAAAAATGAATTTGCTGCTGTACTTTTTGTAAAAAGGCTGCATGATGTAGCCTATATGACTACAAAGGTGTTTAAATTGTGGGGGTTTTTGTTTTGTTTTTTTTTAAAGAAAAAGCAGGGGGACTGTTAAAATGAAGGTGTATGGGCTAGTCCTCAGCTGGCATAAATCCATACAAAATTCTGACCTGTTCCTGTCTTTGCATGTTGGATCATGTCTGGATGAAGGAACAGGACTGTCTCATTTTTGTGCTGAGAACAGGCAAAAAAAAAAAACCCAACCCACAAAGAAACATATGCTGCTTTACTTATTTTACCTTGTTCCATTTGACTGGGGTTATCAGAAAGGCCATATGTTTTCATTCTTTGTATTTTGCCCCAGAACAATCATGGAGTTCCTCTCAGTTTTCTTCAGCTCTGAAGATATAATATCTGGCCTTAACAAATGGAAAAATACAATTAAAACTAACAGTGGTCAGAACTCATGGCTGTGTTTTTAGCATTAATATGCTGTGCATATGTACCCAACATCCAAGCTGCACCCAAAGCAGCTTCCCCCTCTCCAGTTTGAAATTCCAAAACAGATGCTGTCCAAATACTTGTGGCAGCATCCAAGAAAAGACAGCTACAAAATGCAGCACTTGGCATGGAGTCATAATTTAATGGATGGACACAAACATAATTTTGTTGAGAGCAACCAGTATTTTCTGCCTAGCTGGAAGCGAGGGGGAGAGACTGGTGGGTGAATGTCACAGGGAAGTTAAAAATTCTGGCCTGAAGTACTAAGTAGGAAGTGAGATGTTCTGAAGAACAACACTACGCTAGCTCTATGGACTGTCTCCAACTTAATTATTTGTTGGTTATTTATTACATACAATTGAAATAAGTGTAATGCATCCTGTTTGGTTGTAATGGTTTAGTTAGCTCAGGCCTCCAGGACTTATGAAAGACAAACCTTTTGGAACACTTTTTAAAAATAGCTGCTGTTTAAGAAAGAAAAGCTGTAGGTTTGGGATTTTTAATACAATATTTCAAAGCTATTTACAGAAAATAAATAGCTATTTATTTCAAATAATAATAATAGCTGTTTACTTCAAATCTTTGATTTGAAGAAGTTTTCAACTCAAAGTCCTGACTGATGTGGTGCAGACTCTTTATTTTGCCAGCTACTAATTTGTTTTCTTTTTAATCTAAATGTACAATTTTTTTTTGTTGTTCAGCTCTTAATTCTTTTACAATGGAATGGTCAAACTTCTGCCTTGATGTTATTCTTTAAGTCTTTGGCTGCTTCTCAACCCTGAGCACAGAGATCTCCCTTGGTAGTAATTTCCCATGTCAAGAGCAGTGTTCAGACCTGGGTCTGAGGCTCTAGGGCCCTTTTCAGCCTTTGCCATACAATACTGAAGATGGGTTTTTTGTAATGTTAGAACTGCACTGTCCTTCCTAACTTACTTCACCCTAACCACAAAGTAGTCATCATACAGCAGCAAGCTTTTGGTGGCTGTCAGACTGAAATTAGCATCCTTACCATGAAAGATACTGTAATTTGAGGTTAGCTCATTCCCACACAGCTGCATTAAAGCTGCAGCTCCCATAGATACGCAGGTGGGTGTGTCTGCACAGGAATGCCAGGCTGGCATTGCCCAAACCTTCCAAAATTAGTTCCTGCCCTGGAAAGAGGTTGGGGATAGCATCAGAAAAACTCCTGAGCACAATTGCTTTCACTGAGATGGCTGGCTCTGTACCTCTGCCAGGACTGGAATAACTGCTGGACCAGTCTGCTTCTGGGCAGCAGTCACAGCAAGTAGTGGAAGACTGTATGTCTTGTCTGTTTGTCCTCAAAGGGAGCTAGGGAAAGTCAGGAAGAATGATACAAAGGTGCTAATGCACAACTTGACCCTGGATTTTTGGGGATCGTTTGTAACACCATTCTAGCCAGAGACAACTTCACACATTTTATAACGTCAGATGGAGTGGCAACGTACAGGCAATAAATTGATCAAGGTAGGCTCCTGCAGAATTTGCAGAACAGCTTTCACAGGCCAGGCTTAGATTCTCTCCTCACTGTTCAAAGCAGCATCAGACTGTAATTGTTTAACTAGGGCAAGTATTTGACCGTATGATGCTCCACTATCATTTGAGAACAGTTTTCTGTCACTAAACCAGTCAGAATGGAAAGGCAAAAAGTTCTTGTCTTGGGGGTCATTTGAGCTGGAAGTGAGTTCCTTGCTCTTTGTGGAGGGATCATTCTGCAACAGTTGGGGTAATAAATCCACTTTTCCTGCCATAGGTCAGATCCAGGTCCATGTGCTGCTTAAGTTCATAACATCATGATCAAGTCATTCATCAGCCTGTTCTGGCCCTTTGCACAAAACAGATGTTGCTTTGCGGGAGTAAACGTACTAGCAGGAAAAAGAAAATGAAATGAAAACCTGAGCCTGTTTAGAACAATGTATGACAAACCACTGAGTCTTGTGCTAGTATGTTTACCTTGGCAGGCCCCCCCCTCTCCCGCTGGAAGAACCAAGTTCTCTCTCTCTACTATGAGAATTCCTTTGTGAATGTTAAAAAAAAGAAAAAAAGACAGAAAAGAAAAACAAAACAACCGCCCTGGAGCAGATCATTCATCATAAGCAGACTGGGAGCATGAAAGGGAATTTGCTTTGACCTAGTTACAAAAACAAAAACAGAGAGACTTTCTCTAATTGCCCAAATGACTCAGGTGGGACTGGGTGTCAAAAGCAACAAATCTGTGCTTCCTTCAGAGCTGTATGTTAATACAGGGCACCAGGCTCCAACCTGTTCCAGTTCAAGACCTTGGGAGATGTCTCTGAGCCAAGGAAGCCTGGGTAAGCAAAAGCCAGCCAACTCCATATGCCTGCATGTACAAACAGGACCGGGAGCCAGGACAAACATGTTTCATAAATTATAACAAAGACAGTGGCTTTAAATGCTGAGAGTATCAGGGCTTCAACATTTGCTTTGCCAAGAGCTGCAGACAAGTGAGACTTTCTTGCTTTACCATTCTGGTGCTGCTGTAGGAAGGACTGGCCTCCTGTCCAGCAGCATTTGCAGGGCTGTCATTGATCCACTAAACCTAACTTTTTATTTCAAAGGAGCCTGAGGGCAACTACATATCCAAAATGCCATGGGAGCAAGGTGACCAGCTTTTCCAGGCACCAGTGAAAATCCCAGTGTCAGTGCATTGCTATTGCAGGGTGTGGAGTAAAAAGAGCAAGAGCAAATACAGCTAGGGCTGGGGAATAAGAGCTAGGAAGCAGGAGAAGAGGAATTGGAAGGAGATAAGGGGCATGAGTAGAGGCAAGGGTTTTATGTAGCTATATGGGAGAAGAAAGTTAGTAAAAAAAAAAGAGAAGGCTATTCTTCACCAGCTACAGAAAGCAGCCTGGAAAAATCAGTGTACAAGATCTCTGGGGCTGCCCAGTTACAGCCAGGTAAAAAATCGTCCATTTGGCATCTCGCAATACAGCATTTCCATGACAGTAGTAGTTGTCCAGTATATGTGTGAAAGTAGCAGAAGCTGTTTCTGTTAGGAGCTATTGGGCTGGCCCTTCATTGGAAGTACATCGATGTAGTCAGCTGAGGACCTAGCCTGCAATTCTCACACTGGGAGCACCGGTGGTGTCCTCAGTGCTGCAGAGAAAGGGCCAATCAGGAGGTTGCAGAGACAGGACTTTTCTGAAGCCCAAATAAAGTTCTGGTTCTATTCAGGTTTAGAGGGAAGGTTCAAAAGAGTTTGTATTTTTTCCCAGCTGGTTCACTGTCTATTTTAGATGGAACTGTTTGATCTCTTTCTGCTTTGTGTTTCTTTCAGTTTCCCAAACAATAGGAGGAAGCTTGCCTGTTACGTGTGCTTGGGCCCCAACCAAGCTTTTCCCAGCTGGAAAAATCACTCCATGAACTACAGAAGGGTTTTTTTTCCAGCTATAATTACAAGATTCCTAGTTCCCATATGCATTTTGTAAGGTAGGTACAGGCTGTCTAAGGGGAGCAATGGGACATTCCTGAGTGCTTTAACAACTGCTGTTTCCCTACCATCACACCCTCTAAAACCTGAGGAGAGCTTAAGCACATCTGAGCTGTTCCGCTCAAGGTTACCAAGACCTCAGCTGAAAAAACACAGGGAGGTGCACAGCCCCATGTAATGCTCCTTGCTTTGGTGAGTAAGATACCCAGGCTCTTCCTGTTACCTGATTATATAAGCAAACACCCCAAATTCACCAGACCAGCTGGGAGGACTTGGCAAGTGCACAGGGAATATCTATGCACTGTCATCACCTCAGATAGACATGCACCACAGAGTATAGCTCAGAGGCCAGGCTGTAACTAGCCTGGTAGACAAACTTGCCCAAGGGACCAGCACAGATCTCTGAACAGAAATGAGGTCTCATGCTTGACCCAAATGTTCAGCTACAGCAACAAGCAGGTCCCAGCCATGAGCACACATTCAGCAAACTTCATCTCCCCTTCCTCTGACAGGAAACCTTCCAGCTGATCCTGACTGTCCCATCCCATCACACATCAGATGCAATACGGGTTACTGTTCCACTGGATGAAAGATTTCACACCTTGGTGGATAGAGGAGAGCATTAACCTCGACTGTAATGCTTAGGAGGGAGCAGAAAGAAAAATAATTAGGCTATAGAATGGCTCTGACTAATTGTCAACATCCCGTTGCCCTGTTGCGGATAAGCACCTTCTTTTAGGGACCCTAATGTTTCCATTATTCTCACACAGGTAACATTATCCAGTTGGGATCTCAGAGCACCTGGGCACTAAGGAAGCAAATGGCTGTGCTGGCCAGGACCACCACATGCAATGGAGAGAAGGTAAGCAGAGGTCTTCTCTGGCCAGCAACAACCAGAGGTAAATCTCCCACCACCTCCTCCCAAAACTAAGTGAAAATCTCCCATAGCTCTGCCTTACTTGTACAGCTGTGGGCAGGACCTCTTCAGAGCAGCGGAGGACAGCCCCAGCTTGTTCTGGTTTCTCAGCCGTGTCTTCCTCATAAGATCCCTCATTCTCCCCCAAGCATGGCTCTCGCCCTAGGGAGCAAAAAGAAACCACAACTTGAAGGACCAGAGGCTAGCTGCTGGCAGACCTCATCTGGCCGACATATGATGCTTTGGGGCACTCCAGGGTGGTAGGAAGAAGGGAGCTGCTTCATTTTGGACAGATAAGAGTCAGGGCCCACAAAAGAATTTTTAACACCCTGCAATGATGCCCAGTGGCCAGGTTGTACCTGTATAGGACACAATGAGACAAGATAGATCAACTGTCAGTAATACCATCCTTTTTGTATTTTATTTAGTAACATTCCTGTATCTAGGACCCTGTTGTTCTGACTTACAAGTTTCAGAGAGTGAGGGCAACTGATGACTGCTGACTAGCTGCTTAAAGGCACGTTTCACCTTATTGTTATACTGTACTAAAGGAAAAGATCGGTTTGGTTTCTTACCTACTCATATGCACCCAGGGGGGCCTTTACAAGAAAAACAACCCAAAAAAGCCGCTTGACTCCCTTCTTTCTATTAGGCCAGTTGCATTGGTATCAGCCCTTTTCAAGGTGGTGACTTTTGTGGACCATGAATTAGAAGAGATCAAGCCTTTGTTTCCCTGTCTGCAAGCCACAGCTATTGGGCACATACATTTGAAATGCTAATAGAGATTATCAGGAGATCAGGGAGTCTCATGAGGCCCTCCCTCATGTTTGTTCTCTCTGGGCTGAGCTCATCTGGACTCATGAACTGAAAAGGAGCCACACATCAAAAAAATCTCATTATTTTTTGCTACATTGTTTGAAATTTCCTAAAGTAATGGCTGGAAAACCTTGGGAACAGAACAAAAAAAGATCATGCCTCAGGACTAGCATAATGGGGAGAGACGATTCCCGTTTTGGTAAAGTTCTCAAACCATTGTCACTTTCGGGGCATTGTTCTGCCCTGTCCTGAGGTGCCTTCCCACTGTGCCACCAGCAGAGCCATTACTCCATGAGTTGTGGCCACCTTGGGAGCACAACGTGGCGACTGCCCAGCCCCACACATCAGCCCAGGCAGAGCCAATTGCGGTAATTCTTCTTGGGGCTCTGCTAAGTTTTCCGTTTAAAACTTCAGATGAGGTCATGGGCTTTGCTGAAAACTGCAACACCAGTTTCTGTGCTATTGAGTTAATTGCCCATAAGTGAGACTGTTTACTCATGGAAATATAAAACCTTTGTGTTTGCTACTAGGATTAACGTATGCTATGGAAGGGTTTTGGAGGCCTCAGCAGTTAGTCCCTCATTGTGCTGGTGTTGTCCCAGAAAAGCAATCAGTGCTAATATCACAGAAAGCCTGAGCAGTTGCCTGTTCCTGAAGGCTAGCTAGCTGTTGCCTGCAGTGGGGCTGGGAGGACAACGGACCGCATGCAGTAAGTCATAATACATGTCTGTCTGTTACTTTGATAGTAAGCTTCGGGGGTCAGTGAACCTCTTTTGTTCACGCATAATGCTGTGCACTACAGGGGCTTGGTCCATGATAATGCAGGTACAAGTTAAATATATTGTGCAAAGGCAGTACATACCGAGATGATCTTGCTGACATCCAGACCCTAAAAACAAAAGGCAAATACACTGATAAATAACAAGACAGTGAGACCATTTCACAGTGCTGGGAACAGACTGGGCTCTGTTCTCAGCTCTGCCCTGGAGTCCACCCATAACCTTGGTCAAGTCCTTTATCTCTTTAGGATTCTGTCTCTCCTGTGTGTGATAATCCCTTCTTTCCTCCTCTGCCTCTCTTACTGCAGAAGTTGGCTGGACACAAGCCAGAGCACAGAGCACCTTTCAGGATTCAGCCTTGATTTGGTTTCTGAAGTTCATCGAAGTATTTGCAACCTATTTGCAACTTTGGGGTGGAAATTTCGTGAGAAGGTCTTTCCTGTGAGAGACCTACTCCTTCCTCTTTCCTGTCAGGCTGGGAATACTCCTGACTGGAGCCTCTGCCCTGACATTTCAGCACTTCTGATCCCCGCTGGAACCTGAAAGTGCTGAGGCAGCCACAAACAGTGGGAAAGAAAGGGAGAGGAGAAGCATTCGTCCTGGCTCCCTTGGATTTCAGCAACATGGTTTCCCTGAAACATGCTTTGGGGACTGGAGCTTATTACACCGATATGCTGCCAGTGTGGTAATAAGTGTTGCCAGCTAAGAACTGACCCACTAAAATTTTTATGTGTGGTAATGAATGTGTGCTTGGTTTAATGATGCTAGCAGCAGTAGTGAAGATACTTAGGACAGAGTTCATATGTTGAGTTACCTGGAGTTAGTGAGGGCTAAAGCCCATGCTGCTGTCTGTAGTGGTCTTCTCCCCTGCAGCAGTACTCTGTGCCTTTCTTGACATAAAGACATAGGCACTGTCTTCGCTTAAGGCTGGGAGCAGAGAGGCACAGAGCACCCTGGCCCTCACTGTCCCAGCCCTATTCAGTAGCAGACAGGCTTGTTCTCCCGGCACCCCACTCTGCTCTACCTGAGTAGAATTTTCCCTGCTTCTCCCACAGGTCCCACTCGCAGTCTGGCTCCAAGCTTATCACTCACCTTTCTTACTGCAGGGTCCTTTGATGGAAAAGCCTGTCTCTCAGCCATATTACCAGCTTCTCTGAACTCATTCTCCTTGTTGTTCCTATTGTTTGATGACTTCCTGAGCCCCGGCTGGCTGTTTCCTGATTCCGGGTACCTCTCTCTTCCTGCAATGAAATGCAATGCCTGCTAGGACAGCCTCTGGGCAGTGCTGCCAGCAAGCTGCGACTCCAGATGGGATGAGAACCCTAAGGACTTAATGATGGGATGAACCCCCATGTGTCTTCATGCCACTATAGTGGAAAGAAGGTAAGTGCTCCAGTAAAGTGTCTGACCACGGCAGCACTTTCTAATGGCCTCCTCATGGTCTTATTTCCCTTCCAGGCCTGCTCTGAAACTGCCAGGAAAGAGCATTTCTGAGCTTCAGCACTAGAGATCCCAAAGGCCATTTACACTCTGACTCAATCTTGCTAGGAGGTGTGTTGATATTCTGCATTGCACCAGGTATTAGAGGCAGGCTGAAGTCCAAGGTTTGAAATAAACTAATCAGCCTCGCTTAGTGGGCTGGTTCACATCTAACATTGGATCCAGACTTTTCAGCTGGCTTTATCATCAGTAGGCTGAGCTCAGTCTTTCTCAGCCTCCTGGAAAAGTTGGTCTCTGGATCCAACCTTTGCAGCTAGGGCTTATTTCCACTCGGTCTATAGCATAAGTCATCCTCCAGGAATGTGTTCTGTGCCTGCTTGAGAGAGTAGGAGACTAACAACAGGCATAAGGCTTTCCATCTTAGATCAAATCCTACCTTGGTTGGGGGGATTTTAAAGCCACATGGAGGGGCTCCACTAATGGACCCATACAGGCATGCAAAGTTTCCAAAAGAGAGACCCATTTTCTAACACATTTGTCCTAATCTTTGTAGCCACAGCTGCAAAGTAAAAAGTCCTGCTTCACACATGTGAAGCAGGAAGTGTTAAAATTGTAGGTGTAGACAAAGCATTTTAAAACACATCTCTCAGAATTCCAGCTAAGGTATAGTTCCACTAACACCTTGCACTGTTCCCATCTGTCTTTCCTAGGGAAAAGGAAGTTGCTGGTCAGCTTACTTCACCAACTGGTGGCAAGCAGTAGGGCAGGTTAGAGTTATTTGAACTCACCATTGCAGCTGCTTAGCTTTTCAGTGTTCGCTCCTATTTCTGGGATGATGGAAAGATCAGAAGGGTTTCCAGTCTGAACCAAGAGGCTGTGAGGTCTGCTCCTCCCAGAAAAAAATGTCTTCATGTCTTGGTATGAGTTGAGGAAGACGCTGGCAGCTCCACAGGAGCAATGCTGCAGAAGGTATTCCTACACCAGACAAAAAGAAAGCATGCAGATTCTTAGGTTGCCACAGCCCAATGTAACCAGGTGGTACGATGGTACAAATTGCAATCATTCCAGCCCAGGGATGCCCAGCCTTGTCCTGAGACCCATCAGAACCCAGACAAATTATTTAATTCTGTAAAAGGGTGAGCAGCCTGAAGTTGGTAATATAGATTTTTCATGGGTTCATTGGTATTTAACTTAAATTGCCTAATATTCAGCATTTTTTGGGTTTGTTTCCCAGAAGGAATTGAATACAAGTTTCTAAACACAGAGCTGCTCAGCTAAGGCATTTGTATAAATAAACAGATCTGTTATAATAGTGACTTGCATTTTAAGATAATGTTATTTGTTTTGGCACATGCACAGACAACAATATCTTGTATTTTTATTGATGGGATACCATAGTTTGCTTGCATGTTACCAGTCAGATTCACTGTATGTGGTACTTCAGCTGGTGTACTTCTGCTGTAGCTGGTATGGTGGGAAGGGGAGATTTTCTACCTTGCACAACCATGTTGCACAAGAGTTTAGTAGGGTAGAAAGCAAGGCGAGCTTTACCCAGCTGAAGTGGAAAGGGAGCCAAACTGTTTATTGGTGTTGGGACCAGGACAGGCCAACGCCAGTTTAGCACCTCTGGAGACCCCCAAGCGACTGACAGTTTTAATGTAACATCTTATTTGGATAAGTTGCCACAGCAGCATGGCAATTTGCATTACCTATACCTTTGGAAGCTGCTTTGAAAATATTATGAAAGATGCTGCTTTTGGCCCACAGCATTAAAGATTTCCTTGTAAAGCAACGGATGTGGAGTAACCATGTTCCCTTTGTGTCACAAGATCAAAATGTCATCAGTCTCTGTGGTGGTGTCTGTACAGCTCTCAAGAACAGCATCAGGAGCACTGGCTACCTACGATCCTCATGACCAGCTCTTAATACCACACTAACCCATCTCTGCTCTGGGCATTGTGTTTTCCCTAGCTATGTCTGGGGTATGGAAACCTTTCCATGCTCATAGCCTGCATGGAGAGTGAACATGGTTTGGAAAGTAGCTTAGGAGTCCCTCCAAGACAGGGTATGGACAGCAACCTCCAAGTTTCATGGCAAATGGGGGTAGTAGTGTTCCTCTTCTACGCAGAGGGGCTGTAACTCTGAAGAGGAAAATGACAGAGAGCTGCTCAGATATAGGAGATGCAGGCACCCCAGAGATACTCAAGAGAGAGCACCCAGTTTTGCAGAGCACATTGCAAGTGCTGCATGTTACATCTGGGGGTCCAATTCCCCACTGAACAGTATGGGACAAATGCAGCTGAGAAGGCACCACTGAGAAATCTTGGAAAATACCAAAAAGATCAAAGTTTCAAATATTTAAATGAAAGCATGGTGCCTTTCATTTCAGTGTGAGCTGGGGGGGAGGGGGCACGTACACCAGATGAGGATTTGACCCTGAAGTTGCAGCTTGGAGGAGTTACTTTGAGCAATGACTCACAGTTGTAAAGCTTCAGGAAATGTGTTAACAATTCCCAGGCTCTATGTAGGAGGCTGCATTCCTCTAGGCATGAGAGATGGGTACATGGAAATGACGGGCTACTCTGCTCTGCAACCTGACTCACAACTTGGCTTTGGCTCTGAGGAGGAGTCAGTCGCCTACTGCAGATCCAGTCCCAGCAGGTGGGAAAGCAGCACCAGGGGAGGAATGACACTGTCAGGAGAATAAAAGACTCGCCACAGCATGGCTGGGAAGAAATAGCTGAGTATGACAAACCCCTTCTGTTCCTTTGGGGAGTGATAAAATAAATAGAACGGAAGGGGAGGAAAAAAGCTGGAAACCTGGTGTGATGGCCAAAGAAAAAGCACTGAGAAGCAGAGGTGGGGTAGAGCCGAACAAAATATGCAGGGGCTAAAAAATGCTGTTTAGGAGGATGCTGAAATGATTTGCAAATTTCCCAGCTACCTCTGGCTGATAAAAAAAGACAAATGGAAACACTGAGATGTTTCATGTCAGAGATTCTTCATTTGGCAGCTCAGAAGTGCAGGAAGGGAAAGAGAACATGGATTTGGGTAGTGGTACCACTGCTTCTCTTTCCCATTGTGTCTGTTTTGGGGAAAATTCTGGGATTTTGACAGTTTGAAACCAGAAAGGAAAGAGCGAGCTTTTAATTCAAAACACAATCACTAAGGAGGTCCATGGAAATGTTTTGTTTTGATAGCATTGATGGAGGGATTGTTCTTGGGAGTTTTCAGCTGTAGAGAAGTTAAGGCTACTGATTCGAGCTGTCCATTGCATGAGGTGAGAAGGACACATTTTAACTCAACAGAAGCAAGCACAGCTGGGAAACAAAACTGAACAAGAACAGAAACCCAAGCCCAAGGGAAGCTGAGCCCACTGTGGTGGGCAAGGACTCCCTGAAGACCAGAGCAGCCTGCCCAGGTGGGTGTGGGGTCAAGTAAATCAGCATCTTCCCTCACCCAGACTTGGAACTTTCCATCTGGGCCTTAAGTATATAATTTAATAGAAGATACTATGGTGTCTGCTTACCTCTTTTATCTGGCTCATCTTCTGCTCTTTCTGCAAGCTGCACACTTGCTTTTGGAGACGCAAGTTGTGCTCCTGCAGCTGCCCAATCTTCTCAATCAGTTGGCAGATGTGTTCCAGGTATCCCAAACCAGATCCCAGGGCTTTGCTGTTACCTTGGTTCACCTGCAATGACAATGCATCTTGGACCATGGAGTAACAGCAAAGCAATCCTTACTAGCAGTTGGGAGCCCAGCACACTCCTTACAGCGGGCTGTGATAAAGACACTCAGGCTTCCTCTTGCAAGTGGCTTTGGTTATAGCCAGATCTAAGGTACAGTGTTGCTTGCTCACAGCTCTTTTCTGGATTACTCAGCAAGATGCGCCATTAGAGGGACTCTTCTGACTGATCACAGGCTGACGCAGAGGAAAACCTCATGACAGCCTGTTTCTAGTTCCACCTCCCAGGCTAAATGTTGTCTTTTACTGGCCACAGGACCCTTGCAAACAAATATAGTTCTACTGTATGGTACAGATGGCTGGGGTTAGTATGGCTCTTAGCCCATAGCCCTCAGTGCAAGTCACACTTAGGTCTATTGAGACTGAGCTTGGCTCCTACCCAAAGGCACATATATGCAGGTTACAGTGATTTGCTGCTTTGTGACCAACTTGGGGGTGCATTTTGTCTGCCTCTGGCAATCTGCAACCATTATGGCACAGCTGAACTCAGACCCTCATCACTGGTGGGTCAGTGAGAGGGACATGGGTCTGAACCAAGCTGCCAAAGTGAAAGAACATCTTTCCACTGGTCTTTAGCAGATCCCAGCTTACATCCCTGCTGTTACTTTCTCAGTCATTAAGAGATGCCTGAAGAAAGTCTGCAGGATCGAGTTTGCCATCTGGCTATCGCAGGATATTCTGTACCACTGATCTCTCCACACCTAGGACCTGCAGAGTCTCACTGCTACTCAGCCAAGGGCAGTGCCAGAGACAGACAGTAATCCTGTGGCAGAGGAAAGGCAACGGTGCTTCCCAGCCTCCTGCTCTGCGCTTCACCATTTCTGGCCCCAGGACTTCCCCATGCACAGCAAGTGTTCTCTCCTGTGCCACAAGTGGACTCTGCCGAATGTGCTGCTAACAAACACATGCAGAGGCTCACTTCCACCTTGGCGCTGCCTGCTGATATGCGTGTGATATCAGTAAGTAAAATAAGCCTCGAACTTTACAAAAGCAGCACTCTAAGTTTATCTTACTTCAAAAAATAAGTTCCCTCTACAAAAGCAGGAAGCTTACTCTGTCTCCTTTCCCACAACAATCTACATTTTTGGGGAAATGCCAGCCTTGGGACTCTTCCTGTCTTTTCATTATGTCAGAAAGCTCATGGTGTGTTCAAAAATAATCAACATTAGGATTTACTTCTTTTTAAACAAATGATGATACAATGTTATTTATAAACAGGTATTATTATGTCCAGATGCTTTTGTGTCTGAGGCTGGGACAGAGGTCACATGAAATCATATGAAAAACTGTGATGACTCTAAGCCGACCAGTCATTCACATTCATGATTTTTATTTTCTTCTCAGGCAGAGCCTGCAGAAGTGGTGGCAAGACAAAGGTTACTCAGCCATAAAACTGAGTCCTTAGCATGTCTGTGCAGTGGGAAGGGGTGCAGCCCCACGACCCACAGGGAGAACAAAGCCTACATGGTGTCTGCTGGGAAAAGCTTGAGTCAAAAGCACTATAACCAACATATCTGAAAGCAACTAGGGATTTGGGGGTGCCCAGCTTCAGAAGCATGATTTTCAGAAAGTATGTGAGTATCAGCTTCTGAAAATCTGGCAGTTTTGAGCTGTCCCAAAATGGGTAGTCAGAAGTTCCTCATTATCCTTGAAAACGTAGGCTTTCTGCCACTCTGTACCCTCTTTTGGCACATTTAACAACTTCCCTTTCTGCCAGTTTGCTGTTGCAGTGACTGATGGCATGTCTGTATCGCCCTAAGGAGACAGTGAGCAAATCCAGCCTGTTACAGCTGTAGAAACCCAAGGGAAGACTACAAGGGACAGAGGAGCTCTTGGAAAAGACAGTAAAGTAAAACATTTGGCTGTAACTTCAGGACTGGGGAGAAAGCATGAAGCATTTGACTGTGACCTCTTTCAGTTAGAGACCCTCTTTTTGTTCCATACTTGTCCTGTCCTTAATATTGTAAGGTCCCGCTTCATGTTTGCAGCTGCTAGGTTTATAGGGCAAAACGGGCAGGGGGAGAAGAAGAGGAGGTGGCCCTGATTTCCAGTGCTCTGTGTCTAGGGCTCAAGGCACTTGAAAGCAAAGGGGTGTTTAGGACAAGCATGGAGAAAATCTGGCTTTTAGCAAAAGGGAGGGAGAACTTCCAACTCCTGAGAATAAATACAGGTCCCCAGAAAATGAGAGGGAAAAGGCGTAGAGCAGTTGCTCCAGGTCTTGGGGCAAGGTGGATTTACTCCTTTAGAGGACCTAAACCAGACTGAAGCTTGGACTCAACATGCTGGAGGCCCCTGTTTCACAGTCATCCTTCAGAGGCTGCTCAGGGCAGTCAATTTGGGCTATTTAATAGTAAATTAATTTGCATTTTATTGAATTGATCCCAGCAAGCACAAATGAGCAAAAGGCAAATCAGGCAGAGCCTCCAGTGCCTGCCCATCGCTGCAGGGCCAGCCACCTCTGTGGTCAGCATGCAAGGGTAGAAGCCTTTAAGGGGGATGCTTCACCTTGCTTGCCCTGCTACAATGCCTGTTAGCATCAGGATTGCTCAGATATGGCAGGCATTCAATACAGAAAATTTGTGTAATTTAGCTGGTTGCCTCCAAAACGATTGCTCAGAGAGGGCCTCTCTAGGGATCCTTCCAGGACTTTCTTTTCCATAGACTGGAAATACCTAAACAGCCCTCGCTATCTTCTGGTCATGCCAAGTGCAGCATAGAACCTGCTCTGTCACATTCTGGGCTAAATATTTTCCTCTCGGCACCAGTGAGAGAGTTTTATGCTAGCAGTGGAGGGTGAGCAACCATAGGAAAACTGCAGACATTTTCCAGGATGAGACTCTTCCAGTCTCTGTCCTCCCAGCTGAAGCTTCCCAAAACATCGACCTAACAAGACTGAAATTTTTCCCATTCACCACATGGGGATTGTGAAATAGTATTGGATCAAAAGCCATGTGCCCATTTTTGAGCTGATGAAACCTATGAAGAAGGAAAAACATCTCACCTACTTTTTCGAAGGTGAAGATGCAGAGGATCAGACAGGCGTAATTTATGAATCAGATGAGGAAAGTAACAACATAATGTATAAATAGGTGCCAGACTTTGCTTTCAGGTACATCAGACTGAACTAGACCCTCAGCTGGAAGAAAAGGAATCCAAGGCTCTCAGCTATACTATGCTGAGTTACTCCCATTACAGTTTTGACCCTGTGGAGTTAAGTTGCACTACACAGACTTTACACCTGTGTAACTAAAAAGAGATCTCTGCTTTTGTGAGTGTTCACCTAAGTTTTGGGGACAGGTTTTCAGTACATGTATCACTGCTCAGCTGGCAATAAACCATCGTAGTTGTGCTGGCCCACAGATTTCTTAGGAAGCCTAAAAATACAGGATCAACACCTGCACTGGGAACTTTGTCTTATCTATAGCCCTCCAGTCAATATTTTTACTGGTGTAAAATCACATTTTTTCCTCTGAAGCCACCAGAGTCACAGAGCTGGGAGCTCTTCTTCTGTCAGGCTCAATGGAAAACTGTCCTGGGCTGGACCTGGCAGCAGGAGCCAAAGCTGGCAGGCAAGACTAGCTTGCAGATGAAGCTCTTCTTACTTCAGATGGGAGCTCACTGATGTTTCTTGCAGTGACTTAGGTTTCTGCACTTCTCGCAATGCTCTTCACTTTCTCTTGTGGATAGTTTTGAGTTATACTATGCTCCATTCTCCCATAAATCCCTCACTGCCCACTTCCACCACATTAGCATGGCCAGTACAGAGGCAGTACAGTCACTGTGCCAACAGCCAAGGAATGAAATTACACACCTCCCATCATGGGCTTGGAGCAACTGATTAGTGACGTCACAGGCTGAGCGGGAAGCATTTGTCACTGGAAGCTGACAGCACCAAAAGGCTTGTGAATAACAGGAAAGAGAGTGATCGTGCTGTGTATTTCTGGCGGCTCTGCCCTGCTGTCCAGGAGGGGCTGTGCTTACTGATAGCTTCTAGTTTCCTCCGAGCGGCACACACAGGCTATGGGGCTGACAATCACAGGTTGCCCTATCCTTCCACTGAACCTTACCATTCTCTGCAGAGAAGTATTTTGACTGCTTTGGCCAAGGATAATTAGCACTGTGTGAATAATGGGTTTTTTTCATTTAATGATGACAATGCTCCCACCCTCCCTCTTCTTCCAGGGGTATGGGCTGACTTTAAATGTAAACTTTATGGAGCGTGAGGAATTTTTGCAAAGCAAAAGCATCAAAAGCTATGTATCTTCAAACTGACCTCAAACATTTAATTTGGCTTAAAAGGAAATGCTTTTATTTAGGCTTCAAAGTTCTTTCACTTGTTCTTTGACAGCTTCCACTTTCTTTCATCTTTCTAAACACAGGCAAATTTCAAAATAACAATGGTTCAAACCAAAAGATCAGAAACCTTTGTTTAAGAAATGCCAGACTGAAATTATTTGATGTATATTTTCAGCCAAAGCCATTCACCAAATGAATCTAAATGGTTAAAATATTTGGTCATTTCCAGTCTCTCTTTTTCAGCATTTTCCTTCCTTTTCTCTTGGAAGTAGCCTCAGCAGTGAGGGAGGCCTGGAGGACATCAAGGGACATCTTCATCCAGAGACTGAATCCTTGCTCGGGTGTGGTGTGCTGGCAAGGAGAGTGCTGATGGCATTGCCACAGCCACCTGGGCTGGGAAACCTCAGCTGCTCTCCTCTTACTTGGAAGTTGTATTCCCCAAACCAGCAACAGAACTGAGGAAGCTGCTATCACCTATAATTAAATAATGCTCTCACCTGGCATTAAATATAAGCCCCTATAAGCACTCTTGCATCTCTGTCAACATGAATTTAATGCAGGAGGAATTGATTTGATGGAACAATTTGGTTTGCCATGTTCTTTGCCAAGCAGAGTGGGAATATCTTGTACTGGCCTGCTGTCTTTCAGACAACATTGATTGCATTTCTAGGGGTATCTGAGTCCCTAAGATGACATCAGGCCAGACAAGAGATTGGCTCCTAAGTACCATGTTGTATCTTGAACAAGTTACAGGCAAATGTGAAAGCCACAGAGTATAAGCCTGGAGCAGAGCCTCAGCTGGGGTGAACCAAGAGGCATCCATCAACTGTGTGGGCAGATGATCATCAGGACATAATTTCTGAGGGGGGGTCTCACTCTGTCCTGCCTCTGTTGTATGACAGTGAGAACAGGTCAACATTGTGCAGGTTTGGCGAGGGCAGAAGGCTCTGCAGCTGCAGGAGGGCTGTGCAGCAGCAGTGGGCATTTCTTGCCCTAGTCAGCTTGGGTGCTACCTGGCATCCCAGCAGTTTGAAGAGCACTGCTTTTGAGATACAGCAGCCTGGAGGTGCTCTGTGAAGAGGGACAAACTTCCTCAGCATCTAGGTCACAGCTGTATTTATACAGCTCAAAAAACAAACAAAGAGAAGTGCTCTGGGGCACAGAGCTTTAGCACTCAGCCAGTGAGGATATTAAAAAGGAGGGGAGATAAGCCACCAAGAGTTTCATTTCCTCTTCAGCTTCTTCTAATTTATTCTCTTGTTTATTTAAATGCTCTGCTTTAGGAAACTGAGGCTCCATTTCACAAAGGATTTAAAGGAATTTCATGGGCAGCCAGAGCTGTCAGACAAGACCAAGCTGGCTGCAAACCCTCTGGAGTACAACAGAGAATTTGGGTAGCTTTTTATAAAGTCTCCTTATATTCAAACTCTCCTGCTCCGGTCCTTTTTTGAACTCTCTGCCAAAAGGCCAGGTCGCTGTCTGTTTGGGAACTGTGCAAAACAGACGTCTGTCTTCTGCCGTGTGTGAGACAGGTCTGGGGAGGAAGAAGGTGCTCCATTGGATTGTGTGTTGCTTGTGCTGCCTTGGTATGCAATGTTACCAGAGGTGGGCCATCTCTGACCTTCCTCACTGCTTGGGAGGGTTTGGCATGCTGAAGAGGAAGGCCATCACCTGATGGTTCAGGGCCCGAGCAGAGAAGTCATGGTGAAAGTATATGCACAGCACACAGCACTTCTCATTTGGCTTCCTCCCACCCATCTCCCATTCATCACTGTTGCTGCAATGAACACCCCAAAAAGAAATCCCCGTTATGCCCTGTTTGATATTTTTGGTGTGTCTGTATGACCCTCTTCATCTAGCCTGCCCCGTCCTTTCCTTTTGCTCATGGGGCTTTTTGGTCTGTCTCTCTATCAAGAATCAGCTCCCCCGTTAGATCTTTCCATTACTGGTTCATGGAAGCCACCACAGCAGGCAGGCAAGGCAGCGATCTGTCTGCGTGTCAGCAGCATGGGGCTTCAGTAAGAGCACTGGAGTGAGTGCTTGCCAGCATCCACTATGGGAGAAAGTGCACAGAAGGGCTTTTTATTCTCCTATCAGTTGCAGGGAGTACCCAGCAAGGGGGAAAGAGTAGAACAAGGTGCTGAAAATATGCCTTTGCAGTTTGGTCAGTCTCAGAACACAGGAGTTTCCATCACAGCTGTGCTGGAGGGTTAAAATGGGCTCTCCATCTCTATCCCAGCAAAGATTTGAATTTGTGCATTAGTTCCCTGCTCACTCATTATTCGAGAGAGCTGGCTCAAGAGGACAGGACAGGCCTAGACAGGAATGAACTACCCCTTAGACAAGTTCTTTCCAAACTTCGGTGCCCCAACAGCAGTCTAGCTGTTCCCAGGAACAGGAATAACCTGACATTGAAAAAGAAACTATGTTCTGATCCCTGTCCCACTTATCAGAGGACGATGACTAACCTCATAATCTTCATTTTAAGACCAGAATAAAGTCCATGCTCTAATCTAGGGCTTTTTGAAACATCAGATTTCCATGAGCTGTTAGTCATCCTTACCCAGACCCAATATATGTGAATTACTTCAGAATTTCACAGCTATGAAAAAAGCCCTTAAAAATCAATTGCCAAGATTTGCTGCTTACAACAGCTTCAGGGGAGATTTTCTAACTCACTCAGATGTGTCCTAGTTCGTGACAGAGGATAGGACTTGAACCCTGACTGAGGTATTGGACCGGCCTAACTGTAAGATTCAGTTTAGGTGTTTCTTACCTCACTCAGTCTACAGCATTCATCCATGTATTCATTCAGACTGTCGCTTGTGGGGTACTTCTTCAGCTGATGTCCATGGATCTGAAGGTCTTGCATGCTGCCAAAGTTCTCTGGGAAATTGTCAGCAATTGTCTTTGGCTCTTCTATGGAAGGTGGGGTGGGAAGAGTGCTTTCCCTAGGAAGGTCTGTCTCTGGAGTAGCTTCTTTTTCCAGATATTGCCTTTTGCTTTGGTCAGAATGTTCATCGGGACTTTCTTCTTGAGGGACACTGAAGTCTTCAAGGGAAGCTGTAGGACCCTGCACAGCATCTGCCTCCTGGCTGTAGTACTCAGCTTGTTTTTCACTCTCTGGATCTTGGTGGCTGACTTTTCTGGCACACTCTTTACATGTTCTCATTATCAGATGGTCAATTTCTGGAGAAGAAGAAGTGCTAAGCACACCTGAGTCACAAAATGAGTCTCTGCTGTGAAGCACAAAGCTCTTCTCTGAACCCGTCGGTGTTGATGGAGAATTAGCCCCACTTGGCAATTCAACCCCCGAGTCCTCAGATTCAAATTTGGAGAATCTATGAAGTTGGCACTTGGACTCGAAGGCACTGAGGTCAGGCAGCGTGGCTACATAGTCTGTGCTTGCCGGGGCATCTGCATAGTCTGGATCTGCTGGTGCGGCTGCTGCATTCGGATTTCCCTGACAGTCCGGTGGGAGGCTGACACCAGGGAGACGGGACTCTTCTGTGCAGGCTGTGTCAGCTGGAGCCTCTGGGTTTAACCCTGGGTTTTGAATTCCTTCATTGCTCAGTAACTTCATATGTGTTAACACAACTTTGTCCTCAGCAGGTGGGCTCTTCTTACCTGCTTAAAAGAAAACAAGTAGAAGAAGGTCACAAGAGGCCACAAAACTCAGTGTCTAGTGCATCTCCTGAGGAATGTTAGATGTAAAACTGTCTATAGTAAGGTGGTAGAGGGGGACAGCCCTAATTTGTTTTTGTTGAGCTGTATGAAGCTTTCTTGCAGGCTTTGCTGCAACAGAAGTGTTGTCTTTCATAGCCCCAGAGTCCTTCAGGTGGAGTCTTAAATACACACAGAGCTCTGATTTAGTAGATAGGTAGAAAACACATGTAGCCAGATGACTTTTTAGTGATTACCTGTGTACAGATGCAGAGAAGTACATGTTCTTTCAGCGTGATAGACATTAATTTAAGGCTAAAATATTTCCTCTGATTAAATGTATTCTGAACCAGCAGAAAAAAGGGTAAAATGAAATCCGTCTTTCTGCAGGCTTATGTGAATTTTGGGTTGCAACAAGCAATTTGCAAACTGTTTTGTATTCTCTGCAGTATTCTCTGCACACATACAGGTGATGAAAAGCAAGTACTGATAGGAAAAGCAAACAAGGCACTGTAGATCTTTTTCGCTCCCTGTATGGTTTTAACTATCAAGTAATTTCTTTAAATGAACTCTTACCTTCTTTGTAAAGAGAAAGGAGACGGGGGGGGGGCAGCTTTGTTCATGAGCTTTTTGCACATGGACAAAGACTTGTTTTCACATCACAGTTATTTCACACGGTAATGTGGTAGAACATCTCTGCATGAAAGGCTGATCTACAGGAGTTGATGATCTGCCCCCAGGTTTTCTTACTGTTTTTCTGAATCTAATATTTCACAGGGAAGACTTCTGGTTCACACTGGCATGAGAGCCAGTGTGAAAGCTCTGCATCCACCCTTTAGTAAATTGCAAATGTCAGCTCCAAATCCATCTCTTCATGGATTTAGGACCAGGAATTGCTGCAGTACAAAACTTCAGTTTTTCCCTTATTAGTGCCTGACCCAGAGCACCTCAGAGGGCTACAATACATAGACTTTTCAGGATATCTTACTTCCTACTTAATTTCCTTTCATTCCCCTCTCCTACTTCCTTCCTTTTTGCCTGACATCAAACCAGCAGCTGCTTCACAAACTCACTCCTGGTAACACAATTATCCCTAAGTAAGCAGGGAAGGCTGGGACCCCATGCCAGTGGTAGAGCAGGGAGAACTCTGCTGTGCAGTCCTCCTTCACGGTAACCCAGGAAACTCCCTGTTTCAGAAATAACCTGTTTTCCAGCCTTTCCTCCTCCACCTTGCTTTCTGCAATGTCCACAGACAAGGGAGACTTTTACTCATTAAGGCCAAGCTAGCTATTACATGGATCATTTTCTACTTTATTTAAATTCCTTCTATTTTATCTTCAGAATGTCTTGGGATACCACTGAAACATGCCCTTTACTGTTCACAGGCAGCCATAGATTTAATATTTTACACTGGATTTTCATAAAGGGCTGTCAGTGCTAAATAATCCCATCTGATGGGCTTTTTGTGGCACTTGGGCACATAGTGCTTATAACCCTTACAGAAGATCTTGTTTATCATATAGAGAATTGCACCCACCTCCCTTGGCAGGATTCACAGGTACCTCTCCACTGTAAAGAGCCACATTTGGGACAGTCAGTGGCAGACTGTCAGCAATGCAACACCAATACACTACTGTGGTGGGGGGACAAAAGAAAGACATTGCCCACAGAAATACCACAGGAAAGCTTACCAGGAGCTGCCTGTGCTGGGCTGGGTAACAGCCCTTCCACTCTTGGGATGAGCATGATGGACCCTGAACTGAGAACAAGGAGGGACCCTGGTTTGCAGCTTCACACACAGCAAAATGCCACTTGTAAAAGGGAGCTTGGTGCCAGGTTTTGGAAGGAGGAGCTGGAGCTGAGTCATTACTGATTTGGAGTGAAGAGGATCTACCTGATCAGCTGCAAACACCTCTTGGCAGTGAGAGGCAAAGTGTATCTGCATGAAGAATGAAAGGCTAACAGGCTCTTCTGATGGCATCACTGCCCCAGATGGCACAACAAAACCACTGGGAGTCAAGAGGAGAGCAGTTGCATTGCTGCACTTTCTTTTTAAGAACAAATCATACAGCTGTCACTCTTACCAGGAATTACTATATGCAATGGTAGTTCCTTCCCACAGACTCTGATCGCCTTCACTTATTAACCATGCCATGCTTTCCTTTGGAGATTCTCTTACTGTCTTTCAATCTGCCCCTTTTTTTTCTTGCTTAACCAGTTTCACCTTGGCCTACACAAATATTTCTTTGTCTGAAATCAGGAAGCAGCGTATTAAAATGAGGTCTTGCCAGATGCTTTAATTTGTATCTTTTATGACTATGAAAGCTACAATGTGTACCAGAAAGTTTGGCTGGGGTAGAAAAAATAAAAAATGAGATGAAATCTCTGACCCTCTGTGTGAGGGTCCCCTTGATGTCAACAACTCCAGTGCTGAGAAAGGTCTGCGCTCTGGATAGCACAGTCCTTTGCTCTCCCCATCCTGTGGTCACTAGCAACATTGCATGGTTTCACAATTTCTTGTTTATCTGTTCTAGGCTGCACACCATTGATCTCGGCACTGGCAGGTCCTGGTAACCACAGTGTTTGAGCACTTCTGATTTATCCTCCCAACCCCTTGCAATGATGCAAAATGTTATCATCCCCCTACCACAAGTTCAGAATGGATGCAAATGATGGCAGAATTTTGCAACACACTTAGGCACCTCATCCTCATTCATTCAATGATACTTTCCCATGGTCAATGAGGTCATCTGTGCTACAGTGGAGAGATCTCCCATGATTAAGGCAGTGACCTGAAACTCAAGTTTTTCTTGCTGCACCTCACTGACGGAACAGTCTCTGTTAACTGGGTTAGGGAATGTAAACCATGGGGCTTCCAACAAGCAGATTGTTTGTGCTACAGATCTTGAAAGAGCATAAAAAAATGCTCAGTTCTTTCAAGCATATTGCCAACAAACACCAGAATGGTGCAATTAAAGCTCATCTGTGCAACTACCAAAAAAAAAAAAAAAAAAAGCTAGCCAGACCCTCAGCTGCTATAAATTAGTTTATTACCAGGGTCCCTAACAGAATTGTGTCAGCTAATTCTGGCTGAGGACTTGGCCTGTAAGTGCTTTGTACAACAATACCAGGGGCCTGGAGCAAAGCAGGGATGATGGACTCCTGCCTGGTGCTGGAAGGAGTGTGCCACAGGGGTATGGTTACAATGCTGTGCGGAGGTGTGAAGAACTTCAGAGAGCTGAACAGCGGCATTAAGGTTGGTAAGATGTATTTACTCGTGCTGGAGGCCAGCCAGGTTTGACACTGCTGCTCCTGGGAAATCAGCCAAGATTTTTGTTGTTGTTTTTTTGTTTCTTTTCCCCTGCACTGTTTTTCCACACCCCTTCTAGGGTGGGGGTAAGGTACCGAAGGATGCTGTTTTCAGGTAGCTGGCTGGGACACTGGTATGGCAGCACTGGAGGGAATGGAGTTGTGTGTGCATGCTTAGGAATCAGTATAGCTTCCTGCAGCATCTTCAGCAGTGTGTGCCCAGGCCAAACATTGTCTCTGGTTAACTAGTAGCCCTCTTAAAGGGTTATATGGCTTTGTAATCACACTAGAGATAAACAGGGTTCCCTGCGTTGTAATATCAGCCTGTAACTGATGGTGACTAACTATGCATAACTGCGTGCAAGTTGCTGGATTTCCTGTGCCTGTACAGTTGGAGAATAAGACTGCTTCCAGTCTCACGGGGAGGTGATATCTGAGGGTAATTAGTAGGGAGTGAAAGGAATTGATGTGTCCCAGCTAAGCCTCTAGAACTTTGCTTTGTTTCCAAATTGCTTTCTAGGATACTTCTCTGTTGGCAGTTAGCAAAGCCTAGCTGAGAAACTTAAATCCTTGAAAGGTGAACACGCTCCCATCAGCTCCTGCCCCAAGGCTTTTCCTTCCTTGGAGTTTTAAGTCCAAGTGTATTTTTCCTGTTGCACAATAACTAGTAGCTGCCAGGGCACAGACTAGTGCATTAATATAGAGATTTCTGACCTGAGGAAGGAGGGTGGATATCTAAACATGAAATTGCTTTCAAGCAGTTTCTTTATCCCAGTAAGCTGCATGCAAGAGATGCATTTGAACAACTGCCCAGGCAAAACTCCCAGGCATTCCCAGTCCTGTCCAGGCCCAATTCCTGCAAAAGCTCCCACCTTTCTAGTAAACCAAGCCAAAGTCTGTATTCAAATCCCCATGCTCCAAAGCATTGCACTGGCAATTCTTTCAGTGCAAGCCTTGTTAAGCTCTGCTACGTCCTTGGGAGGGGTCCTTGGCTTCTGATGCACTGACTCAAGTATCATAGCATCTGATGCATCTGGCTAATGGGAGTACTGGTGGTGGGAAGAGGCCAGACTGGCAGTGGGATGAGTGCTGCTAGTGGCAGTACAGAGCTATACTGTACAGTGCTGCCCTTCTCCCTTCTGGTCTGTGCCCACCCATCTTCTCAAAATGTTCATCCTGATTTGTAGGCTACTTGGCATGGGGAGAATCTCTGTTAAACATGTGCACAATGACTGGCACAATTGGAGCCAAAGCTTTGCTTGTCTCCATCTGCCATTGTCCTACAAAGGATAGCAGCATAAGAGCCATGGCAGCCCTCTGCTTGTCCCCAGGCAAAGTTCAAGTGCATAGCGAACCCATCCACAGTGGGTGGTGCTGGCAGGGTTATGCATGGTGGCAGTCCCAGGGAGAGGCACAAGGTGAGCAGTCCAGAAATGCTCAGAGTGCCTACTCCTCTCCCCACTCCCCTCTATCACAAGACACATAACACCCTCTAGATTTAAGTCCATAAGGCTGGTACTTTGTGGCTGTAGTGTGCCACAGGAAGAGAACACCAGAAATAAATGGCATCACCAATGACTTGAGTTGATGGAGTAGCAGGGATTTCGCACAGCTGCCCTGCAAAGGAAGACCAAAGTCAAACCCCATCATTCCTA